GGGGGCCCTCATCCTCTGACCTCCAGGTTGCTGACATCTGACATTCAAGAGAGAACCTCAGGGTAAAGCTTGTGTACTGGCCAGATGTACTTTCCCTCTGATGTCAGCTCTAGGACTGGTAGATATGGAATTGTTTGCATTATTCTTATCTGCTGTCACTGTGTATCAACAGAATTTGCCTGTTATCGAATGGAGAGGTCATAGTCGGTCTAAGGGTTTGGTTCCACCCAGAACAAGGTATCTGGGTCATAAATACAGTGCCAACAATAATAAGTGAAGAATAGGATAGTACTGCTTCACAGTTCCTAAATTCCAAAGTGGTAGGGGAATATCTACAAAGGCACACATTGCAACAGGAGGGGGAGAATTGCACTCAAATGGTACAGTGTGTGGGATGGGGTTGAGCGCAGGGATGCTGTCTTGGAAAGACTGAAAACTTGTTTGCCCTTAGAGGCTGCATCCAAACATACAGGCACGTGCAGTTTGTGGTACTGCAAGCCTCTTTGCGGTACCACAAACGGCACACCCAGAACATTAACATGTACCTCATGCTGCAAATTTGAAGTACATAGGCAAAATTTGGTACCGGGATTTCCCAATAGCAAAAAAAAAAAAAAAAAAAGCCCAAGAAAAAAAGCATTGCAGTGTACACTATTGTAGTGCATGCTACAGTAGTGTGTGTGGGAACAAATGAAGGCTTGGTCCTCCAGGGAGATGCTCTGGCTGTTGGCCAGAGCATCTACTATTTCATTCATGCCCCCTCAGCACTCAGGGAACTGGGCGGAATGGGGCAACGGCAGTTTGCTTCAAGTGTGACAATTTGTTGCTCACCAAAGTGCATGTGCAAGGGCATGTGTTGTGGCACAAATTTGTGCCTCTGCAAGTGTATGCCCCTGCACATTTGGACATGGTCAGAGGTAGGAAGGTAAAGCAGACCTAATTTCTCTCAATGATTGTACATATAGAGAAATACAATTATTTTGTCTGTTATTAAGGCCCAGTGGTATGAAGGCTTGTTCTGGTAGAAAAACTTACTCAGAGCCATGTGTATATACATTTGAACGTTGAAACCCTGGAGTGAAGGGCGTGCAGTGCTGACATTGTGCAGCCAGTGGGGGGGACACAAGATACACTTGCAAATAGCATATGTAATATTTTAGTCCAGTATTTCAGGAGATTTAGGGTAGATTTATTATTAATGAACAAACTGGTTGAAATCCTTTCTTTACAGACCAAAT